TATTTAAAGTCTAGTTGGACAAAAAAATTGACTTAAGCAACCAGATTTTGTGTGCGTCCGCTTGGGATAGCCTTGCGCTGCACTTTTGCCGGGGTACTCCGCGGTTTGCTTTGTTCATCCTCTGATCCTTTCTCCGCGACTTATTTTTAGTACCGCTTAGCAAACGATTAAAAATTACCGCATGGTGTTTGACTTGAGAGATTCTTTCAGTTTCTTCTGGAAATTTGTGGGCTATCTTCGGTGCTCAGCCGGCAGGAGATTAGCCGGTCGGTATTTTAGCAGTTAAGCTGAAATGCTTGAGCAAGAGAATGAAGCCGCAATGTGATACAGCAGAGTCCTAAAAGCTTAGCTGGGTCTCGCTTGCTGCTAATTGTAATTTAAGCTTGCAATTCAAAGACCCAAAGCAATGTTTGCCCGAGAGAAGGATGGGAAAATAAAAGCCAGTTTCTGTAGGATTCTCCGTTCCAAGTTGTGATTTCTAATTGTATGCTCATAGTTTTCATATTCTTTTTTCCTACTCAGAACTGCATTGAGAACCGGAGCTGTGTATGTGCTGTGTTTGTACTAAGTGACCAGAAAATTGGACTTTTCAGCCTGCTTTTTTATCTGCTAAAACCATGCTCAAAGCTAGCTCTAATAACTCTAAGAGCTGTAAGCTTTCATTGATGGGGAAACCAATCTGCAATCTCGGTTAAAAAATAGTTCTACCTGTGTACTTATCCGCCCTGCGGCACCCTGACCGGCTTTCGAGAATTCGCGGCTTCGTCCTCATAAAATCTCTGCGAAACAAAGCGATGCAACTTCTCCAATGGATTGAGGAACACAGAGCAAAACCGAAAGCTTCACACTTCAGTTCTTTCATCTAGCTAGGTTTGAAGTCTGTGTTTGCCCAAAGAGGAGTGATTTGGTGGGGAGAATACAAGGAAATCAAAATATTTAATGCCCATTAACTTCAGTTAGAGCAATTGGTATTAAAAAAATCAAACTGATGTCACAACATAATGATACCCAGTACACCTAGGTGATGGTAAGGTGACGTGCTGACGAATTGGGTTTTAATTCTGGTGGATTTGTGGATTTTAATTTTATTTTTTTTCTTTGCTAATATTAGGGCGAATAAGATGAGATTTTAATTTCTTTTTGCTTTAAAGTGTTCAGTTGTGCTGGAAGACCAGAAATTCTCAGGGCTGTTTGTCATTAGTACAGGAGCTTAGAAGGATCGCTACCAAATCTTACATTTAAGTAGTTTAAGTGTTGAAATTCAACTATTTATTGAGGTTGTAACTTCAGTGACTCATTTAACCGTTTTGTTTCAAGCGGCCTGAAGATGCTTTTTCCCTGCTAACGCCCTGCTCCCGCCGGCAGCCGCATCAGAGCAGGACTGGCAGGGGGAGAGCCCCCGCCCCCCCCCGGCAGCCGCATCGGAGCAGGACTGGCAGGCAGAGTGCTGCCTGCGCCTCTGCCCTTCCCCTTCCCGGCTGCGGCTCGAGCGAGAGGCCTGAATGGATCGCAAGCCATCCGCAAGTTACATTTCAGGACTGTTTTTTAGAGCTGGACACATTCCATTCTTCATTCCAAACACGGCTGAAGCCAGGAATCACTTTTTCATGTGTTTCCTCTGTGGCTGCTCACGTCGATGCCTTGTCCCGACCTTGCTCCTTCCAGAGACGCAGGAGGAACGGTGGAGGTGATTGAGTTCATTTTGAGCGCATCCGTCCATACGAAGCACTTGTGTAATACAAAATTCATAAAGCTCCAAACCATCAATTTGATTAGCTAAGAGGAGAGCGGGGCGAGAGCGGAGCAGGTCTCTCTCTTTGTTGGGAACCTGCAAAGCAGCTGCTGAATCCATCCCGCAGCCGCAGGTCGAGCTCGGATGGATTGCAACCCATCTAAACTTGAGGGATTTCTAGTCCGCGATGGCAAAGGGCAGGACAGCAGCTTTGAGGTCCTTCTCGACACGTGGGACTCGTGCTGTGGGGCTCCGCCGCGTCTCCAGCACCAGCCGTTGATGAGTAGTGCGGGGAAAAATTGGGTCCTGGGGACCAGCTTCATGCTGGGGGATCCGTCGGGCTTTGGAAGCGATGCAGGTGGGGGAGCAGCTGAGAGGAGGAGAAAGGTGAGGGTCTGCCTTTTGTTGCACGTATTGAGCAGCTTTCGAAAAATCACATTTTTTTTTTTTCCTTTCACTTCGGATTTAAAAAAACAACCCCCCCCACCTTTTAGGAGGTTCAGTCTGTCAGAATTGCTTGGGATAAGGACGTACTCCTGTAGGTTTTTCCTTTTGCGATGCATGAACAGAAAACGGGGTAGCTTCCCATTGGCTAAAGTAAATTGCATTGACATTTTTAGTAAGTAGTTTTATGTCATATATGAAGTAGTAATAATAGACATTCAAAAGAAGATTTACTTGCGCTGCTGTCATACCACAGCAGGTTCAGATTGCCGTAGTTGAGGCTGTGTCAGCAGTTGTGGCTTTTTGTGGTGTAAAACTGTGCTCCTGAAGGCTTTTAGTTGCTGTTTTTCGATCATACGGTGCAATGTTATACATATTTAACAGGTGGATCAGTATTAATGAGTGATGATATGATTTTTAGTATTCTTTAAATGCAAGTAATCTCGAGGGTTGTGTGAGCTTCCTTGTTTGTCTTAAAAAGAGAAATTAGAAATTTCTTCTTGGAACTTTTGCTTTTTCCTTTTCCATCAGAGTAGTATCATACTCTAGGGCTGAATATCTTACTCATGGTTTGGCCAGACCAAGTCCTCTCGGTGTAGAACCTTCTCAGGAGCGTTTTGGGGCAAACTCCCGTGGGAAGCCGAGTGGGGCAACTGGTGTCAGCGCACTGGTGCTGGGCAGTGAGGTGCTGCTTTGTGTGCGGTGCCCCCCAGGCAACTTTTGGGTGCATTTCTGGGAAAAACAAGTTCAATACGCTGCTGTGATTGAATTCAGATATTTCTCCGTTATTCTAGCTTCAAATGTCTGTGCATTTATTGTCTTGAAAGTGCTGGTGCGTACCAGGCACTTCACCTTGTAAGTAATTGCTTTTTAGGGTGAGTTCTCGTCTAAACATTTTCGCTGGCTTGCTCTATTTTTGGAATTGGAGGGAAGAAAGTTCCAATTTGGTTTGAAAATGACTGTGATTGTTTCAGCTGTTATAAATCAATCACGCTTGTTTCTTCCATGAAACTACAGCACTTGCATGAGAAAACAGCCACCTTATTTGTGGCGTTTGGAGTATTTTGTTAGTACAGGTACCCAGCAAAGCCGTGGCTGTGGTTGGGGAAGGTAGTGAGAGAGGTTCAAAAGTCACCTAAAAGAGGAGGCCAGCATTTTTGTATCAGGGGCTTGTTCTTCTGGATTATTTCAAATACCAGCACTCACAAAAATTGCCCC